AAATCTTTAAATTTTAATCTGTCAATCTAATGTTTAAAATTAAAACAGTTATTACCAAAAACAGAATCTGTTGATGATTAATTTTTAACCATATACAAATTTTATAAAAAACAAATAATGGATAAAACTGAGGGGTAAATACCTGACAGAAGTCTTGCACACCAGATTACTGATTTCAATGATTATACCTATGATTACCCATGATTTACTACAAAGATTACCTATGATTACCCATGATTACCATCACCTTGTACATTGATTACCCCCAAGGTGTTTACCCCTCGGATAAAACGTATATTGAATTCAGTTCTCACTGTAGGCCGTAGGGATTAAAATTATATTTTAATTATTATATCTAGTAGAATAAGAGTGATAAGGGTAATTATTTATTAATTTTATATAATTAAACATAAATATACATAATATTTTATAATACAAGGTATCCAAATAAGGCAGACAATATTCATTCAAAATATAATTACTAGGGTATCAACTTGGTTTTTAATGTATAAATGCTAAAAGTACATTCATTGTAACTTTAAATTTACTTATATTTATATTATAAACACTTCTCCAAAAGGGTATCCCATAACTTATGATGGATTGAACCAAACTTAAGTTGACCAAAGTCATAGTTCTTAATTTAGGTAATAAAATATTACTGAAAATGTAAAAAAAATATTTACCTACACTACTGTTGATTCCATTTTAAATTTTCATCTATAAATTACCTAAATATTTAACATAACTCAAACATTATTTTGTCTAGAAATTAAATTATTACACATACCTAATTTATACTTGGACATATCAGTATACAATTTGTTAATACTAAAATACAAATAACAAGATTGTTGTAGAGAGTTATTATCTAACCACTGATTAACTAAAACTAAACCAATGTCGGCTTTATCATAGTGTATATCAATAGATTTATCATTATAAAGTAAAACAGTATCATCCGCAAAGCAAATCATTACCATCAAAGTTTAAATTTAACAACCCATTTATATGAATTCAAAATAAAACTGTATCTTGTGGAACGCCAAAAGTAGTTTTTAATTCTTTACTAAAACTACTAGGTATCTATTCTAACCACTGAAAAAAGCAATATATTTTAAGGACATGTTTAAAGTTTTCATTGCTTATTTTATTTGTTTAGTCTTGGAGAGATTTAAAGACAAAAGTCTCTAAAAAGGCATCCAGTCTTAGACATGCCAAAAGACAAACTGGAAATAAAACCATCGAGCTTCAAGAATTGAATGAGTTGGATAAAAAAGTCATGGGGATAATTGGTCACGAGTACGTTGAGGGAACTGCATGTCCAGAATCATTTCCAGATGAAGTGGTTTGTCATTTGATTTATTGTTTTTAAGTGTTCTTAAATCATCTATTATTTAAAAATTATTAAATTTGTTTTTCAGTCTGATTCTATTGAAGAGTTGGCTAGAGGTAATACTAGCATTTTAAATGTAGTACCTACTTCAATTATTACAGAAACACCCGCAGAAACATATGGTTAGTTATTGTATACTATATTTATTTATATTCAGTGGCATAAGTTGGGGCAAATTTTAGGGGTTGCAAAAGTTCTCAAAATATCAGATCCATGGATGGCTTAACACGTCCCCCCTCAATACCACCAACCCTTTTTGACTGATTTGCATACTATGTGTATACACATACCTATGCAACTATATTTTCTAAAATAGCATGTCAAAATAGACGATTGATGTAACTTATTATGATACACAATTTAATCTCCGATGTCTGTAGCCCTATTTACGTATTACCTAACTAAAGGTTACTCAAATTTTGACTATGCAATTTGTATTACTTATAGAATATTGTCAAGATGATGATGCAATATATGACAATATAGAAGTATTAGAAGCTTCCATCATAGACAATCCTTTACCTACTGATGCAGCCTCATGTAGTCAATCTGAAAATCAACTTATCACAAATGTAAAAAAAAAAAAAAGTAAGTAATTGTGAATTTCCTCATATACAATTATTTATCTAATATTGTATTAATTTGATTTTTTATATTAATAAAGATGTTAAACTTAACACTCAATTCAGTACAGCACGTGAAGTATTCACAAATTTGGCAACCATAAACAGTCAGCAAATAGAGGTTAATATTAAATATTAAAATATAATAATTTTACAAATAAATTAATTAATTACCCTGAAATTTTTTAGTTGATAACAAGTACCTTGAGTACCATAGCTGAAAGCAATCATAGAATGGCAGATGCTATGGTCAAAATGGCAGAGAATGATGACAGACGAACCCAAATGGAGGAAAAATTGTTAGATTTGTTGTCTACCATTTCTTCCAAATTAAATTATAAGTGATCATATTACAACCTTATAAATTTTGTTTTCATTTTATTGTTTTATATGAAGTTATCTATTTTATTTTTCGTTTTTATATTTGTAAGGAAATACATTTACCTATTTGTTGTAAGTACCTAACTATTTGTAATATTCTTTACCAAAAATAAGTTATAATACATAATTCTTAATAATTTTGTTTTTGTTTTAATAAGCAACATAGTTTATTGTTTTTTTTTTTTTTTTTTAACATATTTTGTATAAAGAGTTTATATAAGTAAAATATTTGTTTAATTATTCGTAATTATTCATTTTATGCATCACCATCAATATACCCAGGAAACCAATCTTGCATTAATTGTTTTTGAATACGCATTGCTACAGCTCTAGGGCCTCCCCTTATGGCAACATCATTTTGTGGCAAATTTCTTTCAATATAATTGTTGATATTCCTGTTGTCAATATTTTCTTCTTCTATTGGTATACGGTAATGGATGCGCATATTGTGGAGAACTGCACAAGCATTTACAATTTTTCCTGCCATAACGGGTGCATACATTAACACCCGTTGATAGGAAAGGCATCTCCATACACTTTTAAACACCCCAAAAAATCTTTCGACAACATTTCTTGCCTTACAATGTTTTATAGTATATTTAAATTGTCGAGTGCCTTCTCTGTAATGTGGAAGTGGAGTCATTAGCCATGGCTCCAATGGATAGCCAGAATCACCTAGAGTAAAATAATATTACATAAATATACAACTTATATATTATTATATAACATTCAATTAAATTACTTTATCAATATTCAATAATTTAGTTAACTTAAAAATGAGAAAAATATTTAAATTACATTTTTTTTGTAAAATTATTACCAATGAGCCAAGTATGACGTTCTCCCTGATTGTAATGATATTCCATTGCACGACGAATGGGTGATGTGCTCCAGACATATGAATCATTTCTAGCTCCTGGATATCTTGGATTGATATTTAAAATTTTCAGTTTTGGGCTGACTATCTAATAAATTCATAAATTAATTAAAACATTTTTGAACTATTAAAACATTTCTATACTTACTGCTTGAACATTCAACGAGTGATTTCCATGATGGTTCACATAGGCTTCTTCGTGATCTTTAGGTGCAAGGATATTAATGTAGGTACAATCAATGGCACCAATAGCACCTTCAAATGGTTGTGGTGCATTTTTAAATTCTTCACGTGCTTTATTTCTATCTGCATTTGTCATTGGAAAGGTTACCCATTTCCTTAAGAGCCTATCATTTATAACATTAGTCACACTATGAAGACACCTACTAACTGATGGCTGACTAATGTTCAAATCGAAATGTTCACCAGTAGCCCGTTGATAGCTACCTTTCGCATAGACATAAACTGCCGCTAATACCTATAATCCAAACAAAATAAACATGAATTTGATAAAACTTTGTATGTTATTTTATAAATGGACGTACGAAAGTACCTTTTTAAATTTTAAACTATCCAAATCAAATACGTAAGAACTGTAAGAATAATAATATTAACTATAGGTACCTACCTAGGTTTGGTTTTTGTTTAAATCAAGAATTTTGTAATACTTTAGTCTACCTAGGCATAGAATTCTATTATTTTAATAAAAAAAATTACCTGAATTTCCACAGGTATTCCAGAGTTTCGCTCACGTTGAAGGAAAGGTCGAAGAGTATTGGTTAAGTCCATGGATAATTCAGGACTTAGACGAAACACATTCATAAATTCTCTTCTTGGCAGTTCATATGGATTTTGAGTGTCACGTAACATCCGTCTTTCCATCCGCCTCTCAACTAGCCTAAGTCTTTCCTCTAATACCTCCAACTCATATCCCAAAAAATACAAAGCCATGTTTTGTTTTGAGTTTTGATTTAAAACTTTTATATACTCAAATACTCAATGTTCAAAATAATAATTAAGAAGGTTAATAACGTTTAACGATTACAATATAACATTCGATAAGGCTTAACGGCCCTTCTAAAAGGTCCGATACGGTATCGAATATTTTCGATAATAATTTGACTGTTAACGATTAATTTCGTTATCAATTATTTAGAGAATCGCTCATTTATGCTATTGTCGATAACGCTCACTATCGATAGGTTAACGAACCGAAATTATTCGATAAGGCATCTTATCGAGTTACAGAATCGAGCTGCTGGTCGTCGAGATTCTTCACCAGCGAACGAGACGTCCGTTGCGTAAGTCCGCCAGCAACTGAACGTTGTGTGAGAGGCCGCCCAGGTCGTCGAGAGCACTCCACCTCTGCGGCTGATCACCATCATAACCGGACTTCCGTAGCCTAAGCTAATTTTAAGTTATTGCCCCAGTTGTATGTGAGCTCTGTGGTCATTGCACCAGATCGATCCGGCCACAGAGAGCCCCTCCCCATAATTAAATTGTACCATCCTTACTCCCGTGTTCGGTACTCCCTATTCTCATCGTCGTCGTAGGTCTGCGCGTCAGGTTGCCTACCTAAGCTAATCACGGGGTAGTAAGTTAGGTGGCCTACCTCCATTAAATCAAGGAGCAAAAATCTGTTCCGTCTTATTGTTCTCGACAATCGGTCGAGTGATCCTTCGGGTAACCCAGACATTTGGGCACGTACATTTTTTGGTCCTTCGGGCCGGATGGTTTAATAAAAACCGCTACTATATATATATTATTACACCACTTTTCGTACACAATCAATTTTGTTTGTTGATATTAGTCTTGGTATACCGTTGATGCTAGTACCTACATCTTTAAAGTCTGTACTGTCACCGATTTGCTTAATTATATCTAGTGAAAGATCTACGCTGTAGCTCTTATCTGATATACTCGAGAATTATCTCCACTTTCTAATACTGCAGTTGCATAAATTAACTCCGGATAACAATGTCGACAACTATTTACAGTGATTCTAAATCACGTGTTCTTCGTTGCATTACCTAGTTGAAAACCTTTGCTCAAGCGTCTATCGATTATAATAATAACCGTACCAATGCTGGCAAACGAGCGAAAATCGCAAAAATGATCAGTGAGCTCACCCCTCTTCGAAATGCAGTTGAAGACGATGTCCAATGCATGGAATCAGCCGTAAATTCCAAAACAGCTTCTGAGGGTGTAACAGATCATAGTGAAAGTCAATCCCTTATTACGTCATTCGACGGTCTCTATCATGAATTGGCTGCGTTCGCTGACGTGCACAAGTTAACAATGTCACCTTCGATGGACGTAGCAACGTCTTCTTTCTCAAATCACAACAGTAGTATACAGAATTTATCAGCTTTTCAGCTACCTAAGCGTTCATTTTCTATATTTTCCGGTGTGATGACCGAATGGCAGAGTTTTGATGATTTGTTTAACTCTATCCTGTCACACGCTCCTGAACTGCACGACGTTGAACGATTTGAATTTCTAAAAATGTCTCTAAAGGGTGAAGCCTTATCACTGGTGTCCCATCTTGCGTTAACGGCTACAAACTATGCTAGTGCGTGGAAAATCTTGCGTTCCCGTTATGGCAACAAACGTGATCTTGCCCGTATTCACCTTGATGCTCTGCTCGCTAAACAGAATGTTAAGGCTAATGATGGGACCTCTATACAAACTCAGATTAATACGATCTTAGAGAACACTGCTGCTTTGGATAATCTTGATTTCGTGACGCGCCAGTGGAGCCCGCTTCTGGTACATGTCGTTGAAAAACACCTCGACTATGAGCTACGTGCTAGATGGGAATTGGTTGTTGGGGATAACCACTATCCACAATTAATATCTGAGTTTGTCGATTTCTTGCGTACACATTTGCGGTCTGCGGAAATTTATTCCAATTGTACCTCAGTTGACCGTCCAGATAGTGTACCCAAAACTCACAAGTCAAGTAGACAGTCAAGTTTTAAACCTCGTTCGTCTTCCACCGTTCTAGCAACTACCTCTAGTAACTCACCAGTAAAGCCGTGTCCACTCTGTAATGCACCTCACTCAATCAGATTATGTAAATTATTTACCGACAAGCCTCCGAATGAACGCTTTTCTGTCGCAAAATCTCATCGCTTGTGTATAAATTGCCTTGGATCCGGTCATTCGTCAGTGAATTGCGCCTCTAAGTATAAATGTCAGTCGTGTAAACGAAGTCATCACACGCTGTTACATTTTGACTCAACTACTGCTCCATCACGTCCTTCAGGGTCCATGACGTCAACTGGTGGATCCACTGCGTCCTCAGATTCTATGCCTTCGGGTGGTGTCTCACATACCACGACATGTCTTGTTCGAGGCCAGCCTCAGAGTGTCGTGTTGCTGTCTACAGCTCTTGTTGATGTATATGCTGCTGATGGACGACGTCATGTCTTGAGAGCTTTGTTGGATTGCGGGTCACAAGCAAGCTTCATCACTGAGAAAGCGTGTTGTGCGTTAATGCTTCGTCGGTATCATTCACCTGTTAGTGTTTCTACGTTCGCTAGTACAGCGTCGACGTGTGTTAGTGGGAAATGTAGTATAAATATTGTTCCCTGTGGCTTACAGTCACCATCAGTCTCCACTGACGTATCAATAATTTCTAAAATCACCGGGCCAACTCCTCAATCACCGTTATTAACTGGGCGATGGGCACATATTCAGAATTTACCCTTAGCAGATCCATCATACAACATCCCTGGTGCTATCGATTTGTTATTGGGAGCCGATCTGTTACCCTCGATTTACCTGGATGGTATGCAAAGTGGTCTGGTTGGTGAACCCATCGCCATGAACACTATATTTGGTTGGGTTCTCTTGGGACCAATGGATTCATGTGACCGTTCTTCCATTACTACAATGTGTCTCACTATCTCCGAACCACTCGATTCACTATTGAAACAATTCTGGGAGCTTGAAGAACTGCCTATCACCTGCCATTTGAGCCCCGCTGATATTGCTGCAGAACAAATATACCAATCAACGACCACCCGTTTAAGTTCTGGACGATTTGTCGTCTCGATTCCTTTTCTGAAACCATTGCCGTTGCTCGGCGATTCGAGGACGTTGGCTCTTCAGAGGTTCAGGGCCCTTGAATTCAGATTAAATCGTAACAAAACACTACAGACTCAGTACGCTGAATTTATGCGCGACTACTTAACAGCTGGTCATATGGAAATGATTCCACCCGCTGATCAAGGAAATCCGTATCATTACTATATTCCGCACCATTGTGTTATCAAACCAGACAGCCTTACTACCAAACTGAGGGTAGTCTTCAACGCATCTGCCAAGACTTCAGCTGGTATATCACTTAATGAAAGTATGTACACAAGTCCCAAACTGCAACCTGACATACAAGTTGTTCTACTTCGTGCTCGACTGTGGAAATACCTATTCATGGCTGACATAAAACAAATGTATCGCCAGATCCTCGTTAGACCCGAAGACAGAGACTATTTGCGGATCTTGTGGAGATTTTCGTCTACCTCTCAAATTGACGAATACCGTTTATGTACCGTGACATATGGAACGTCAGCTGCACCCTTCCAAGCGCTCCGCACCGTCCGTGAACTAGCCAACGTCGATGGCGGAAGCTGGCCGATAGCGGCTTCGGTCTTGTTGAACGACACCTTTGTTGATGACATCCTTACAGGAGCGAACTCAACAGAAGCTGCTCTTGAATGTCAATCTCAATTAATCAATTTTATTTATTTATTTATTTATTTATTTATTTATTTATTTCAACGGATCAAACGATCCAATTACAATAATTTAAAATAATATAGTTCATAACTGAATATTAGAATACAATAATAATACACGAATATAATATANAAATAATAATAAGCAGTACTACATATTTAAATACAACAAATTTTGTTTACATAATTGTTAAATAATTCAATGGAATTAAAACTAAATAATTCAATGTTTAAATCATTTGCTATTGACATTATCCTATTCATAGGAGAAGCAGACATATAATTTGTTTTATGTGTATAAATATAAAACATAGTGGTTGATCTAGTTCTGCACTGAGGGACATAAAAATTAAGAAAACCTAAAATTTCAGGGCAATTGATGTAACCTATGACGAGCTTAAATAAGAATTTCATATCAAATATTTTTCTTCGTTCAGATAAACTACCAATATCAAAATAACGTAATAGTGGTTCATAAGGAGAATGAGGCATACGATTTAAATTACATTTGAAGGCCATAAATCGTAGGAAACGGTTTTGAATATTATCTAAACATTGACTTTGATAATTTAAGTAAGGCGACCAAACAACAGTATTATATTCTAATTTTGAACGGACTAAACTAGTGTATAATGTTTTAAAAACAGCAGGATTAGTGAAATCCTTACAATTTCTAGTAATGAAGCCTAAAATCATAGAGGCTTTCCTAACCGTATGTAATAAGTGTTTATTAAATGTGAGAGCAGAATCAAAAATTACACCTAAATCACTAATATCATGAACACGAGACAAAGGAGAAAGACTTATATTATAAGATACTATAAATGGATCCCGAGATCTAGTAAAAGATATAATTTTACATTTATCAATATTCAACGGTAGTTTATTAATAGAACACCAATCCAACAATATATTCAAATCATTTTGTAATAAAATTGTATCGTTGAGAGAATTTATTTGTCGAAATACTTTCAAGTCATCGGCAAAAAGAAGTTTTCTTGAATGTAAAAAATTTAAATCATTAATAAATAATAGGAATAATAAAGGAGCTAAGTGAGAGCCCTGAGGTACACCGGATGTTACAACGAAAGGATTAGATTTGTAATTTTTATACTTTATAATTTGTTTCCTATTTGATATATATGATGAAATCCAAGACAAAAATGGGTCCTGAATACCTATGTTATGAAGTTTAGATATGAGTATTGAATGGTTTACCTTGTCAAACGCTTTAGAAAAATCTGTATAAATAACGTCGACTTGGGATCTAGAAGCAAAGGCGTCTAATATTAATTTATGGAAGATTAAATGATTTGTAGTTGTTGATCTACCACTTAAAAAACCATGTTGGTCTTCACAAACTAATTGAGATAGCAAAGGAGTTATTTTTTTTGATATAATTGATTCAAAGATTTTTGGAATTATTGAAAGTAGGCTGATTGGACGATAATTTGTTACACTTGATATATCACCACCCTTTGATATTGGTGTAACAAAACTTGTTTTCCAAACGGTTGGAAAAGTACCAGTAGATAGAGATAGGTTATATAAATACAATAATGGAATAGTTAATACGAATTTGCAGTTTGAAAAGAAAATACTGGGAATCATATCAGGGCCCGGATTAGATTTATAAGTAATTGTATCAAGTTCATTTAAAACATCAGTTATATTTAAGACTACAGAAAATAAGTTTAAATCTGAGGTTAAAGCCGAGGGAAATGTAAAAGAATCTGTTGTGAATGTGTCTGAAGTGACATAGACATTAGAAAAATAATGTGCAAAACTACTAACTATTTCCTCACCACCACATATAGACTGATTTTCATAAGTCATAGAAGTAGGTAGTGAATTGTTTGAGCGTTTATTACTTAAAAATTTCCAAAACTGTTTAGGATTTGACAATAAAGAGTTTTGTGTATCTGTTAAATATTTACTATAATCCACCTTGGACTGAAATTTACATTGGGCACGAAGATTAGAAAAAATATTATAATTAATTTGAAAAGGAGATTGTTTATATAATTTGTGAGCAATTTTCTTTTTAAAAATTAAGTCCCTCAATACAGAGCTAAACCAAACTGGGTATTTACTTATATATACCTTTCTTTTTGTACAATTTTTATCAATAATTTCAAAAATAATATTATAGAAACGAGAGACAGCATTGTTTATACATTGGTTTTTGAAAACTATTGGCCAATCAATGGATGCAATTTGTGACTTAATAACATTAAAATTACATACAGAAAAATCATATTTAAATTCATTATATTGTAAGGGAATAAAGTTTTCATTAATAGGGAAGGTAATAAGTAGAGCCGGGTGATACATATAATCGATTGGTAATAACGTATCAGTCTCACGTGAAACTAAAACATCGGTTGAATTTGACAGAATTAAATCAAGTATAGAATTCTTACGATTTTTAATTATATTGAATTGTTGAAGATTGAGATATGAAAAATTTGCTAATACATTTGTTTCTAAATTTGTATACTTAAGTGAGTGAGGGATAATATGGTTATTAACAATATGCCATTGTAGACCAGGAAGATTATAATCTCCTAATAGAATAATTTTAGCATTACAATATTGACTTAATAAATTATTAACAGTATCTGTATGTAAATTATAAACATTAATATCTGACTGAGGTGGTATATATAGAGTGCCAATTAGTAATATTAATGAGCCTATTGATAATTTTATGTATAATTGTTCAATTTTATTATCTTGAAGTAGGACGCGGTATGACTGAAAGTGACTTTTGATCGCAATTAGAACACCACCTCCTCTGACTGAAACATTTATATTATTGTCGATGAGACTTCCTCTATCACAGCGATAAATTGAATAGTAAGGTAAAAGACCGAGTTCGTTATCATTAATTTCATTGTGTAGCCAAGTTTCTGTTAAGATAATAACATCATAATCATACAGTTTAACATTACGAGTAAAGACAGCCAGTTTGGTGTTTATACCGCGAATATTTTGGTAATAGAACGTTAACTTATTGGCATATGTACGTGATTCCTGACGTTTTTTGACACAGTAGGAATATTTTTAACGTATTTAATGAATAGATCAGATTCGCCAGCGGATTTCCTCTTATTCAATTCATCCAATATTGATTTGAAGTAGTTACGCTGAAGTAGTGTGCGATCAGTGGAAAAATTTATAAGTTTAAATTTGTCACAGTGACGTAATTTATTTTTGTTTTTTAACACAGTATAAACATCATGCTGGTTTTGTAATGTAATTCTTATAGGACGACATTGATTTGAGACCTTTCCTAGTCGAAGTATATTTGCCGGAATTATTTCCTGAGTACCCATTTGTTGAAATATTTCAAGAATAGACTGAGTATCATTGGTAGCAGATTGCGAAAGATTTTCAGGTACATTAAAACAGATTACATTTCTACATCTAGCTTGTCGATCAATAATTTCAGAATACATTTCTTCAGAAGTAATATGGGAGGGATTAGACTCAAGAATAGATAATCTAGACACAATATTACTAATAGTATTTTTCAATAATTTATTTTCGTTGAAAAAGTCTTCAAAATTCTTAGATAAACTATCCAACTTACACTCAATATCCCCGAACTGCTTGTCTTGTTTTTTTTTTTCATCACGGATAAAGTTTACAGTGTTAATTAACTTATTTTGAGTAATTTTCATTTCATTTATTGAATTTAATATTGAATCGAGTTTTTCGTTAGAATCCATTTTAGAGAAAAAATAAAATATCTATAAGTAAATTTACAGCGGTTGTATCTAATACAGTAAAACACAAACAAAACGCACTGATAAGCAAGACGGCACTGAATAACGTGTTATTAGTTCAAAGGCTGAACTGCAACTTGATTTGTGCGCGATGGCACAATTTCAACTGCGAAAATGGGCCAGTAATAATAATCAACTATTAGAGACTGTTTCTGAAGATGCTCGTGCCATGTCTCCATCTGTTCTCTTTGATAGTAGTGACCACTCAGACCTAAAAGTCCTTGGGTTAAAGTGGGATCCATTAGCTGATATTTTCTCGTTTAAAGTGCACCCGTCGAAAGTTAACCCAACTAAACGTACAGTGCTCTCAGATATTGCTAGGGTTTTTGATCCTCTGGGCTTAATGTCTCCTATCACCTTCTGGACAAAATACCTAATGCATCGCCTATGGACGTCAGGCGTGTCGTGGGAAGATCCAATACCAGCTGTTATAGAGACATCTTGGTCCCGGTATCAGTCTGAGTTGCACTTGATTGAACATATTCTTATTCCGCGACGTCTCACCTGCGATAACATGATTTCAATGCAGCTCCACGCGTTTTCCGATAGTTCAGAAAAAGGATACGCTGCAGCCATCTACCTTCGAGTTGAAACTACAATTGCAATCCACTGCCAACTTATAACCGGCAAGTCAAAGGTGGCACCTCTAAAGAAAACCACGATTCCGCGGCTTGAGTTATGCGGAGCTGTACTTGCTGCAAAGTTGCTTAAGTCGGTAACCACCACCTACAACGAACGCTTGAAGATTGACGAAACATATGCGTGGACTGATTCTACAACTGCCTTAGCTTGGATCCAATCATCGCCGCATCGTTGGGCCACCTTTGTAGCCAACCGTGCTAGCCAAATCCAAGATCTCACACCACCATCAATTTGGCATTACGTCCCCACTCAAGAGAATCCAGTTGATTGCGCCTCTCGTGGTTTATTCCCCTCAGAACTGGTAAACCATCCCTTGTGGTGGACCGGTCTGGCTTTCTTGAAGGAATCGTCTGACAAATGGCCAACGTTATCTCTACTACAAGGTAAAGACCATGATGCTCTGACTCATTCTGAGGCGAAGAAAGCTACTGTACTTCTCGTTAATGTTGACGTATCACTTGTAAGTTTGCTGTCTCGATTTTCTTCGTTAGACAAAATTCTTCGTATTGTATCATACATTTATAGATTTGTCGGTTTTCGCCCGTCAACTGTGACATCTGCAA